GTTTATTGTCTTAACGTTTCAGTTCATTCTGCTTTTTATTCAGCTTAGCTGCAGATATAATGTTAGCCTGGCACATCTATGAGCACGAGATCACTTCTCTTTCAGTGCGAAAACTTCTTTATCTCATTTTCATACAATAAAATGCTATAGTATTTAACTTTCCTCTTCATCGGCGAATGATGATCCTGAAAGAAAACGCGCCCGATGTCTGTTTGCTATAGCAACGAATGCTACTTTCATGCATCTGATTATCAGATAAACCTCGCGCTCTTATTTCAAGGTTGCTGTTAATGCTGTGGTTATTTTAACACATTCCTTTGTATATATTTTGAAAGCATTGAATTGCTATAGAAATCGCGATTAATTCGATTCTTAGCGTTTTAAATCGATTACTGTCCGAAATCAGCGATTCACGATTCAAAAATCCATGTTTCAAGATCAATGCATTGCATCGTCAGGGTTTGTAATCGATGCATCGAGAAAACGAGTGAATCGTTACACCCCTACTTTAATGTCTTTGTCTCTTTATTTAACCTTTCTCTAATAGTGGGTAGAAAAAATATATGCTGTCAACATAATACTACATAATACAAATTTTCTAAAATATTTTAATCATTTGTATTTTGTTTAAAGTGACAATATAAAAAAAACAGTTTATTTAATTATTAATTTATAATACGTCTTATTGTTTGCATTGATATTTCTCTCACGCAATGTAAATGCTTCTTTGCTCATAATTATACAGTAGTCTGTATCTCTAAAAAAGTTGGTCCTTCAAAAAGGGGTCACATTTGGGGGTCCTTGGCATTAAAAGGTTTGAAAGCCTCTGGTTTAACCAACCAGCATAGAAATTACAAGGTTGCATCCTTCTAATTTTAAACAAACAACATTGGGAATTAGGGAAACATTGGTTGCATATTTGACGATTATCCATTCATGCAAAAATGCTTTTATTTGCAGGGAGTAGGTGTGTTTGGTACCTGGAGATGAAATGACTGGTTATGCACCCTAAATCTGATGTGTTTCAGTTCAGTGTGGCTTTCTGCTCATGCAGATTCGACAAATTTGGTGTGTATTGCTGACATGCGTCTGGTTTAAGGTGCAAGTGTTTATATAATTGAGGTTTTGAAGGGTTTAACACCATGAGAATGTTCTGAATTAGATTTTTTAAAATGAGTTAATACAATGCATGTAGTCATTCCCTATCCAACCAATAAGAGATCTTGATGGGAAACTGGGCGTTTCTGGACATTTGCATTCAACTTCAAAAGTGCTTTGTCAGATAAAGCCTAAAATTTGGCATACTTGTACACCTGGTATAGTTTATAGAGGTACACAAAGCATCACACAGAAAGAATCTCAAGTACACAAATGCGCCCAGGTGCCTTACAAGATCCTGCAAGGTTTGAACAGTGTGATCATTGTTCAACCAAATCATGGGAATCCACAGTTGTGTTTGCCAGAGGTTTGTGGTTCAGAAGTGCTGTAATGGGATCTAACCTGAATCAAATACTCTACGGGATGAAAGGGTTGGAGACATTCTGCAATTATTATTTTTCACTAACTGAGGAGTATTTGTTTTGTTTCTATTTTATTTTCATCTTTATTTTATATTCTTGTTTTTGTTTTACTTGTTTAATCTTTATTTTTTGTTATTTAGTTTAATTTTATTCTATTTGCTTCATTTTTATTTTGTGTTGTTTATTTTACTTGTTTAATCTATTACATTTTTTTGTTATTTAGTTTGTTTTTAATTTTATTCTGTTTCGTATTTATGTTATTGTTTTGTTTGTTTTATTTTACTTTTTCATTTTTATTTATTTATTAATTTTGTTTTATTTTTATTTAATTGTTTTGTTTTACTTTTTTTATTGAATCAAACCAAAATATTTTGCTTTATTTGGGAAAACTAACCTGTGGAGTTGTTTTTTGCCTCAAAGAAAAAAAAATGAAAAAAAGAAAGACAATTCTGACTTTATTTCATATATTTATGACTTTATTTCTCAGCACGACTTAATATCTTGCAATTACAGATTTATTTCTCATAATTGATACTTTATATAAAATATTATGAATGATTCCTATTTTAAGCTTTCTCACATTTGTTTTTACTATGAGGCAGAAATGGGCTTCACTATTAACCTGAATTTTTTATATAATAGACCATTGAGTTAAATGTTTGTTACTATCGCTAACCAAACCAGTTTAAGTCATTTACAAGCTGTGGTTTCTGTCGTAGTCTCAGTCACCATCTGCTCTTATTAAACCGCTTGCGCTTTCGAGGATTAAATGAGAAAAAAAAAAGACTCAAACTACACTTCCAGCCCCCATCAAAGCTCATCTGAAGCTAATGCTCACAGGTCTCTCCTTTTCTCCCGCTTGCTCCCTGCGTTGTTTCCGTGGTGACGCAGGATGATGAAGACAATCACTCGGTTGCACAAGGCCATGATGGTGCTGGAGTACTTCACGAGTCACTCATGGGTACTTCACGAGCCACTCATGGGGGTGGAACACAGACAACGTCACCATGCTCATGAACCAGATGGGATCTGAGGACAAGAAGGTGTGTGTGTTTGTATTAATACACACAGTCTGCCATTGGCACAGTTAAATGAGTCTCATGTCGCTTAAAACGTGTCAGTACGCTATTTGAAAATCGGAGGTTTTGTGTGTTGTCAATGAAACATTCATTCAAGCGGCTCATAGCTCTGATGATGGTGCTCGAGTCCTCGCGGAGCCACTCATGGGTGTGGAACACAGACAACGTCACCATGCTCATGAACCAGATGGGATCTGAGGACAAGAAGGTGTGTGTGTTTGTATTAATACACACACAGTCTGCCATTGGCACAGTTAAATGAGTCTCATGTCGCTTAAAACGTGTCAACACACAAAACCTCCGATTTTCAAATAGCGTACTGTCAATGAAACATTCATTCAAGCGGCTCATAGCTCTGACTTTTATTCATGCTTATTAATATTTTTATATTAATATTTTTATTTATTAAAATCTTTTTCTTGTTCAGGTATTTAATATTGATGTCAGACAGTTACACTGGGCAGAATACATGGAGAATTACTGCATGGGCACTAAGAAGTATGTTCTCAATGAAGAGTTGTCAGGACTCCCAGCGGCACGCAAACACTTGAACAAGTATGTATTGAAGTTCTCTAGGTTACCTTCAGGATAACTATTATTCTAGAGGGATGATCACACTGATGATAGTTTCTGCACTGCTCAACTCTGTCACATTCCCATGTGGGACAGAGGCATGAATTACTTTTTGTCGCTGCAAATAGATGTCAGTAGCCGGGTTGCCATCTACATTTGTAAAATTTATCATGCTGCATAAAAATGCGGAATGGAGATTCCAAGATGCGCATACAATTTCCACAATGTTCATACATGCCTGCTTGAGGTGGATACATTTATTCACTTGTTTTATAGTTTGATTAAAAAACACATTTTATAAATAAATTCCTAGATGCGCAAAATCATGTGACTTTTCCTCACTTTTGGGCGGTTTAACACCAGGGTTTTTAATGTGTGCGTGACTAACAATGCATCATATACAGTGTTGGGTGTAACACGTTCTTAAAACTGCATTTATTTGAGTAAAAGTACAGTAATATTATGAAATATTATAATTTAAAAGAACTGTTTTCCATTTAAAAATATTAGAAAATGTAATTTATTCCTGTGATGGTAAAGTTGAGTTTTCCGCAGCCATTTCTCCAGGCTTCAGTTTCACCTGATCCTTCAGAAGATATTCTAATATGCTGATTTGCTGCTAAATTATTACTATTATTGGTTCTTATTATTATCAATGTTAAAAACATTGTTTTTGCTGCTTCATATTTTTGTGGAAACAGTAATACCCTTTTTTCAGGATTCTTTGATAATTAGAAAGTTCAAAAGAACAGCATTATTTGGAATAGAAATCTTTTGTAATGTCTTACAAAATGTCTTTACTGTAACTTTTGATCAATTTAGGCTACGTTTACACTAGTGCGTTTTCGTTTTAAAACGCATAACTTTTGCTACGTTACGCCTGTCGTTTACACTACCCCGGCGTTTTCAACCCTCAAAAACGGAGAGTTTCGAAAACGCTGCAGACCCGGTTTTAGTTAGTTGTTGCATTTCAGTGTAAATGGACCAAAACAGAGACTTTTGAAAACGATGGCATGGCTGCCCACATTCGCTCTGCTTATCCTTGACGACCGTGTAAACAATGACATCATGCACATTGTCTTACCTGCATGAATGGTCATGTGACCTGCGTTTTCGGTTGTGTAGTGCAGATGCAGTACGTTTCTGAAACGCAGTGAAAACGCAAGTGTAGATGAGGATCGTTTTCATTTTAAAACGAAAACGCACTAGTGTAAACAGGTCTTTAATGTGTCTTTGCTGAATAAAAGTATTAATTGCTTTCTTTCTTTCCTTTTAATCTTACATTAAACTTTTAAATGGTAGTGTGTCATGGTTTCCACAAAAACATTAAGCAGCAAAAATGATTTCGGAATGGTCATGTGACACTGAAGACTTTTTCTTTGTTTTCTTTTCCTGTAGGCTGCGGAACATTCGCTACACTTTCAACACCATCTTGGTAGTCTTAATCTGGCGCATTTTCATCGCCCGTTCGCAGATGGCCAGAAACATCTGGTACTTCGTCGTCAGCTTGTGCTTCAAGTTCCTCTCCTATTTCAGAGCCTCCAGCACCATGAGATACTGAATCCACCCCAACTGTCCTTTCCCACCCCTCTTTCCCACCGGCTATGCACACACTTCTGCTTTGCGACCCTCCAGAATCTGAGGGTCAAGCATACGGGCGTAGTATCCGCAATCCTCCCCTCCTGCGCAAGTGCGCCCTCAACATCACAGGGTGCAAGTGCACTCATCTGCTATGTAGAAAGCATGAATTTTCAGGGCTCGAGGTCTAAGAAGCTCTCTCTGCACAATGAGAGTGACTTCGTTCGTGCCGAGCGTGTTTGAGCACTTACTGTACCTGTTCCGCCTCCTGAATGCAAACAGGTTGTGGGCGACTCTTGATTATTATGGGTTACATACCTGCTCATACTTGTTGGCGGCATTGGCCCCTTTCCAACTGTAATCAATGAAGCACAAGAAGAAAAAAATGAGAGATGGCTTTGTCTCATCTCTGTGCCTAAATTCAAAAATTACATTCATCATGTGCCCCATGTCTTTGTTAGATTCATGTCTTTTGCCTTACTTTTTTCCTATACTCTCACCATCTTTGAGTTGAAAGTGTTTGACGTGTCACCAAAAAATAAGCGTCTGGAGTGTCTGATTCCTGGCCTTATGTTTGTCTTCACAATGTCATCTTCAGTCAATACCAAAATGTCATCTTGAAATACATTTTTATGTACTACTTAACGTTAGGTTGGGTTTTTGTGAAAGCAGTCAACTGCTTTTAGTCAATCATTTCTCTGATATTAATAAACTTGTTCGTTTTCCTCAGAAATGCTAGCAAACGCAAGCATCAGTTTGTTCACCTGCTTAAACCTTTTACGAATTATGAGGCTTATTAATAAATATGAGCAGACGGGTTTGCGTCGACACGACAGTTCGTAAAGCCATTGACGTTATACGAACAATTTACAGATTCGTTCCGCTCGTGATTAAAGCGCGATAATTGTTTCTTGCCATAACTTATTAGTGTTCAGGTAATGGGCTTTTGTATATAAAACATGTTATCTTTTGTGTAAAGCTGTCTGAGAAAACCAAATATGTCGGCTTATATGTAGGCTAATTTAATGTCTTTACGTTCTTTAGCGCTTTGAGTGCAATATATCAGAGGAGGGTGATGAATCAATTTAACTGGACTGTGTGTTTTTCTTTCCTTTTTTTCACTCAGATTGTTCTGTCAACTGTCTGAATGTTGAAGTAATGTGAAAGAGCTAATGGATATATGTTTTCTAAATCATTCTGTTTAGATAAAGCACTGAAATTTAACCTTGTCTGCTACTAAGTATTTTCCATGTTTGAAATAAATAGGAACGGAAGTGATTGTTTATGACGCAAAATGACAAGTGAAATGAAGAGATGTAAATGCACCATATAGGCTACTTTTATGGTCACACATGCTTCGATCACAATGTCAAGTTATGTTTGTCATACAAGCCGATGTCTTTGCACAGCTAAATATCATACCAGGAAACGCTAGTTGATGGATATTGTTACTAACTGTGTGGAATATAGATTAACTATTCTGTCTTTTCTATTAATGATGAACTGATTAAAAAAAAATCCCTGCCTTCTAGCACTTCTATGAGGATCCATATTTTTATGTGAGAGTTGAGTGGAATAGTGATTTTTGAAAACGAGTTCTGTGTATTCAGGGTCTCATTAAGAGTATTTTGCTTTACCCCAAAATAGGGTAAAATAAAACAAAAATATAGTATTTTTTCCTATAATAGTCAAATGATCTTTGTAGTTTTTTTTGTGATGGGTAAAATGGGCTTTATTGGGTTTCTTGTGTGTGTTAGGTCACCTCATGTTTCATTTCCCACAGCATTTTATAACGATAATATAAATGTTTCTTCCTTAAGATCAAGCTTAAGTCAGGCCTTGATGGGACAAATGTAGATTGTTTCCCTTTCTTTATTTTGTCTGCCTTATTTATATGTACTTTTTGTTAAATATCCTGTAACAATCAAGAAATAAGTGAACTATTCCCTACAATGTTAAGCTGTCTGGTTTCTGGGAGAATTGTAATTGCCACATTAAAATGTAAGTGGAGGGTTAAAAATCAATGGGTGCCTTTCGTTTGTAAACCAAGAGAAATTAAGAATAAACTGAATTTATTTTTCAGTTTAATGAGTCATAATTGGCTATGACCGTTTTATAGAACTTAAGCGCATTTCTTAAAACTTGCTGCACTAGGTAGTAAAATATTGTTATAAACAATACAGAATCTGTCAGGTTTTTAATGATCCTTGAAATCTTCAAAACATTTACCCTCACATTTGTGTGAAAATAAGCCAGTAAATTGCTTGCCTCATCCAGATCTACCACAATTCAATACTGCCATCTGCTGTTCACATTTCAACAAGCATTTAATGTTTAAACTTAAATGTTTGCTGTTAAACATTTGCTTTTCAAAAGTTGAAAAGTCAGACAAAAATGTCAAGAAATCATATTTATTTGGAAGGAATATAATGCCCAGCTAGGTCCACATATTCAGAACGTTGTCATTGTCTTATCAAAATACTATTCTTTTTAAAACATCTTTGTAATTCCATTTGATGTAGTGGCACACAAATTACACAAAAAGGTATAAATTAAAGCTTAATTCCTCTCATTGAATTAAGAGGAAAAGAAGGCACTTTGATGCTACAAATAGAGACAAAATTACAACACTGATCAATGTTCAGTTTCATTGGGAGCGATCAGTCCGCATTTTCTTCACCAGAAGTGTTCCTCTCATCCACACACACGGATTTATTCCTGTAACATAAAACATAAATTTGAGTCTTTTTGTTCTCTGAAAAAAAAATCTCTTAAATATACATGCAGAGAGAATTATATATTTTATATATATATATAAAATTTCATAGTGCCCATCTGATTCATGCTGCAGACTAAAATACCTAGAGCTTTGTCTTACCAGCAAGCTGCAATCTGACTGGGTGGCTAGATTACGGTTCTAAAAAGCACAGTCGTCTATGCAAACGTCATTGTTTTCATGCCAAACTTCTTTAGCTGTGTGTAACATCAGCTAGACATATGCAAGGAATATTTGTGAAGAAACGGTCTCACTTGAGAGGCTGGCAGTGCAGGCCTGTAGCACAGGGGCAGTGCTCCCGCGGCCCCTCCTCGTCCCACAGTAACAGATCCATCAGCTGATTGGGGTGACTGTGGCAACCTTGGCCTTCCTGTGGCTTGGGGCGGCACACGGGGAAGAGCAGGGCTGGAGAGAAAAAAAAACAAAGAAATATTAAAAAGAGGAGGGAGAGACAGAGACTACAGAAAGAGGTACAGCAGAAAGGAAGGAGATTAGGATGAGATGGACTCCAGACCACAGGAAATGTAGTGAGATATCAAAACCACAGTTTTTATCTTGCGAATGATTAATGCATATCTGGGAACGGTAAGAAAACTGAGGAACGTTGTGAACCGAGTGAGCAAGGAGTGCGATTCTAAATTCAAGGAAACAATTATTTAGTACTTTGGGAAATCTTCTGACTGGAAGGCCCAGTGAAACTGGATATTTTTCAGATGTTTTACTGCATAACCAACTGCTTATTGATATCTAATATTGTTGTTTATACATGCACTTCTATGTAATTATAATATAAATAAGTCAAAAATTATAAATACATAAAATATAATATAAAAATAACTACTTTTTGATATATATATATATATAATTTTCAGATGTGATTTAAATATTCTAAATAATATATACTAATATATACATGGAATTAATATATATAACATTTGTGTGTGTGTAGATAGATAGATAGATGGATAGATAGATGGATGAGCACACAAAATGAGCACAGACCATATTAGTCGTCTGGCACGGGACACATTTGGAGGTGATGATCTCATACAGGCAGAAGCTGCCGTCCCCACAGTCCTCATCAATCATGCACTCCTGAATGAACAAGAATGAACCTGACATTATATATTACAGAAACACTGTTATTACAGTTACAGTTGAGCAAACATCCCAAGGACCCCTATTAATACAATAAACTCTGCTGGTTCAGGATACGACATCATAACTCCATGAAATGACGGTGATAAATTCCCAAAAGAAAACTTCAGTTTCCTGAAAGTGGCAGGCAGTACTAGAGTGCATCGTTCGGTCACCATTCACTTTCACTATATGGAAAAGAGCAGTGTGGACATTCTGCTAAATGTCTTCAATTGGGTTACACAAAAGAAAGTCAGTCATAATGGTTTGGAACGACATGAGGGTGCGTACATGATGATAGTGTTTTCCTTTTTTTCTATTTTGGAGGAACTTTTTCTTTAAGCAACCTACAGCATTGTCTCTTAACTATAGTTTGGAGACAATGCTGTAGGTTGCTCAAAGAAAAAATATACTGTATTAGTAAGCTTTGTTTTGGACTTTAGGTCAGGAAATTCCAACGAAATGTTTCGCCTCCCAGACAGAAATTCAGTTGGGGACTAAAAGAAACGCCCACCTACCATTAACTGAAAACCACATTTTTGTTGTCTGGAACATCCTCCTCATTATGAGTGGATATAATAATGTATTATCAAAAACAGTAATTTGTGTGCTTGTACTTTGTTAGAGACACTGGAACTCGATATGATGGAAATTTTGTGACTTAACCTTATAGCCTAAGGAAAAGGTGGGAAATAAGACGTAATATGTTGAACATTTCCACTGTGCTGAAAATATTTACAAACAAACTGGCCTGTGGTGCAACATAGACAAACAGGAGTCATTTTTAATGCCTGATGACGTCATCATCGGTGTCATAATTAATTCCACATTTACAGAAGTGGAGGTGCAGGAATCTATCTCAGTACTTGAATCCTGTGAGAGCTGTAACAGCGACCAACCACTTAGCAGTCAACATCAGAGCCAAGCTGTACCCTTCCCCCCAGAGTTACGGCGTCTGGAGTCTAGACTAATGTGAGTGAGTCACATGAAAAAAAACCTTCAATTCCTCACGGACAAAAACAACTTTCTTAAAGAACAGGACGTTCAAGTTCAAGTTCTACTGGAAGACAAAATAAAAAAAATCGGAATTTGTAGAAAACACATGAAGACACGATCACAAAATTATAATTAATTCAATTAGGGCTGGATGATATCGCCAACATTTATATCACGATATATTTCTTAATTTCGGTTGATACGATATAATTCCGATATCGATATGAACACTATTTAAAAAAGCCTTGTAAAAACTGCCAAGAACGCCCACAACAGATGTCTGTGCATACAAACTTATGAAAAATGAATTTGCCAAGTCTACGACACCTCATATAGAACCATATATTTTAGAAAAGAAAAAAAAAACAGCACAAATAAATTAATGCTCACCTTTTATTTGTATTTAGCCTTCATTCAAACAAGAAATGTGAAATCACTGTCAAATAATCGTCTCAGACTCACCTAATTAATATTAATATTAATTAAAAACTTCAAACTATAGGCTGACATGCACTACCAGTCAAAAGTTTTTAAACAGTAAGATTTTCAATGTTTTTAAAGAAGTCTCTTCTGCTCACCAAGCCTGCATTTATTTGATCCAAAATACAGCAAAAACTAACATTTTGAAATATGTTTACTATTTAAAATAAAAAAATTCAATTTATTACTGTGATTTCAAAGCTATATTTTTAGCATCATTACTCCAGTCATCATTCTAATATTCTGATTTGCTGCTCAAAAAATAATTTATTATGTTTGTTACAAAAGCTTTTTATTTCAGATAAATGCTGATCTTTGGATCTTTCTATTCATACATAAATTCATACATATATTCTATACATAACTTTTGACTGGTAGTGTAGGCTGATTATTCTTATAGATTGAAACAAATGTGCTTTAGCCAGGATAAAGAGTATGAAAAGTGCTCCGAGTTGCTGCAGAAAAAAAAGAGCAACAACAAAAACATGTTGGGGCTTACTGAAAATGCAAACTGATTGTCTGCCAGCAGGAGGTGCATTGAGAGCGGTAGAACTAGCGGTTTCTCCAGTAATGGCTGTAATCAAAGCAGCTCCGCTCATGAACGCTTCTTTATCAGATCAAATAAAAATGCCATCGAAACTTTTCTGAAGACAGTCCTTTACCTTCAGATA